CTTCTCTTCGAGCTGCTGAAGGCGGACCTTTTCCTCATTGTGTTCTTGCTCCAGCAGTTTTAATGCCTAAGAACACAGGGGGAAGGGGAGAGTAACATTTATCATCTGGATAACCATGTTCATTGTAGGACAAAGCCAACCTTGCACAGATTCAGAGAACCATTATAAGGGACAACATGTTAGAAAAAGGAACTGCATAGATAAATATTCAACTTCAGATAGTTGGTTGGAGCCGACCAGTTTTTTTTTTGCAGGTGAAAAGAGGAGTGGGAGGGTCTCCTCTGACCAAACAAAAAGGCTATGCTGGGAGATCATGAGACTAAGCTATGTGGACAAAAGCCATGTGGGACAGGGGCCATAGTAAGGAAGAGAGTTCTGTGAGCTTGACCAAAGACGTAGATTGGATCTATTAAATTATTTCCTTAAAAGAAGAGAAATACTGCATTATATGAATTAGTGGTTTTCATTCCGAACTACTAATACAATCCCACAAGCAAAGGCAGGCTCAGCTCAGACAGTTCCTACAAGGCAAGCAGAAATGACACAATGGACAACCTCAAAAAAAGTCAGCTCAGAACAGATTATTTCCACTAAATCCTATTCTGTACTGATCAACTGTTAACAACAAAGACTTGTGCACTAAATCAATTGTTTGGTGATATGAATGGCTTAGATGTCAGCTTCAAGAAGCCTCAGGCACTGGAGGATAATTTATTATCCTCAATTTAACTTCTATGGGGTTTTGTTTGGATAGTAGCTGTTTGATGAATATTATTCATGTCCTAAATTTATAGGCAGCCACATGAAGCTGTTGAGACACGTAAAATTTCCTAAGCTTGGTGACCGAGAATTCTTATATGTGAAAACTTCCTTAGTACACTAAGAGCCCTCTGTGTCTCATAACACCTCAACTACAGCAACAACCACCCACTTTGGAAATCTTTGCAATGCTGCCTGTGGGTACCTAGCCTGCTCCCTGTCCATGTCAACACCAGGCCACTGCACCTTGTTGGAGAAACTGATGCAGTGGAGATTTTATTTATTCATTTATTTTTCAAATTTATATTCCGCCCTCCCGGCAAGCATGCTCAGGGCAGACCGCAGCACAATATCGAAAACATATCAAATTTTCAAACATATAACTATAAACAGTTACGACAATGGAAAACAACATAAATTAAAACAGAGTGTGCTATTTATCCTCATACAGAGGTTTCCACCTGGCGCCATTGGTGTCTCGAACTTCTTAACCTGGGTCACATCAGACAGCAGCTTCAGCAGGGGAGGCCGAGATTTTATTGGACATCCACCACCTCCACCAAAGGCCTGGCAGAACAGCTCAATTTCGCAGGCCCTGCAGAATGGCAACAAATCCCGCAGGGCCCTGATCTCAGGCGGGAGCATGTTCCACCAGGCCGGGGCCGGGGCAGAAAACGCCCTGGCCCGGGCTAACCGGATGTCCCTTGCTAAGGAGTGTGGGATGATCCTAGACACCCAGCTGCAGACTTACAGCAAGTTGTCTCAGCAACGAATCTGCATTGACTGCAGCACACATGAGAGTATCCAAGTTCAGTTTTATAAGTGTTGGGCGGATAGAGGCCCACTTGCTTTCCATACAAGTAAAAGTGGAAAGACAGGAGGATAGGGTTGCTTGCCTAATTCACAACCGCTCAACGCCAGAAGCAAAGGGCCACTGGCACCATTTTAGTACTTTACTGAGCAGGAACTGAACCTACAAATTATGCACACTGGAAAGCCTGAAATCAAAAGACGCTATGGACAATTGATACACATGGTTAACATGGAAACTTGCTCAAACTAGTTTTGTAAAAAGTTACCTTGGCTCTACTCAGCAGCTCAGCAATTAGCCGAATGGAATGAAGATTTCTTTGAGCTAAAAGAAGCTTCCTCTCTTCTAGTTTTATTTTTTCTTGCAGTTTTTTCTGCTCTTCAGCTTGCATTTTTTCAAGCCTTTTCTTGTTCCTACGAATTTCACGATCCTTTTGCTTCTGTTCTCTCTTGCGCAATTTCTCCTCTCTTTTTCTTTCTCGTTCCAGTTCCTCAAGTTCCTTCTGTCTCCTAAAGATGGATATTACATAAGTCACAACAGGTACACAGTTTCCAGTTGCATTTGATGCTTCAACCAAAAGACACATGATACGCACTCACTTCACACTTAAGTTCCACCAGTTTCAATACAACTTTGTTTCACATAAACGTGCCCAAGACTGCAATCTCTACGAAATACCAGAGTGAAGACTGGAAGTAGAAAGCCACCTCAGAATACAAAGGAAGACATGTCTTCAATCTGGCACAAAGCTAACTTTAAAAAGAGACACTGTCAGTTGTGAAAACCAAGATGTTTGGGTGATATTTTCATTAAAAAAAGCCATCAGTTTGCATAGCAGATAGGGTGCAGACAGTGAGAAGTAATGTTTCTGTACCAGAAAGGATAAATAACAAGCTACTGAAAACAACGGTCTAGAATCCAGCAGTCACTCTATCAATGACATTTTACATTTATTTATTCATTCAATTTATAGACCACCCCACCCCTGAATACACAGGGCAATAAACAACATGATAAAAACATGATTAAAACATTCATAAATAAACAATTTAAATAATCCATAGATAAAATTTTCAGATTCCAAGTTTCATCACTGCCCCACAAGAAGTTGGAAAGGGGAAGAAAGGAAAAAGAGGGGGGGGAGGGAATGCCAGTAGGATGGCATCTGTCACTGTCCTCAAGAACATCTGTCTGGCAGAACATCTCTGCCTTGCAAGGCCTGTGGAACTGCATGATGACCTGCAGAGCATAGATATTATTTGGCGGAGAGTTCCACCAGGCAGGAGCCAGGCTGAGGCTCTGCTTGAGGACCGCTGGACTTCTTTGGGGCTGGGAATTACCAGTAGATTGTTCACTGCAGAGCATAACGCTCTCCAGGGAACATACTGGAGGAGACAGCCCTGAAGATGCGTGGGTCCCTGACTGCTCAAGGCCTTAACGGTCAATACCAAAACCTTGAACCTGACTCGGTACTCCAGTGGGAGCCAGTGCAGCTGGCATAACACAGATTAAATGTGTGCTGTCCATGATATTCCAGTAAGGACCTGTGCCGTTGCATTCTGGAGTTTCTGGATTAGTCTCAAGGGTAGTAGGGCAGCATAGGGGGAGTTACAGTAGTCCAATCTAGAGGTGACCGTTGTATGGATTACTGTGGCTAGGTCAGGGAGAGACAGGAAGGGGGCCAGTTGCCTCCCCCGGTGTAGCTGGAAAAACGCCAGCTTGGCAACGTTTGTGATCTGGGCCTCCATTGATAAGGAGACATTCAGAACCACACCCAAACTCCTGACAGTCTATGCTGATGTTAAGGGTGCACCATCAAGGGTATGGAGTTGGTACCCCAAGCCTGAATCCCCCTCACCCAGACACAGAATCTCCATCTTGGTTGGATTCAGTCTCAGCTGACTTTTTTTCAGCCATCCCACCATGGTCTCCAGCCCCTCGGCCAAATTTTGTGGGGCGGTGTCCGGGTGGCTGCTCATCAACAGATACAGCTGGGTGTCATCAGCATACTGGTGACACCCCAGCCTGAAACTCTGCACCAGCTGGGCAAGGGGGCGCATATAGATGTTGAACAACATTGGAGAGAGGACTGCCCCCTGAGGGACCCCACAAACTAAGGGATGTCTAGTTGACACCCTCTCTCCTTGGAGAAATGAGGTGAGCCAGTTCAAAACTGCCCCATGGACTCCTATGTTGCCAATGCGGTCGGTCTGAAGGTTGTGATCGACTGTGTCAAATGCTACTGTAAGATCAAGCAATAACAGCAGCGCCGACCCGCCTCAGTCCAGCTGTCTGCAAAGATAGTCCATGAGGGCGACAAATGCTGTCTCCTTCCAAGCCCATTTCCGACAGTTATTTAAAATTTCTTACTCTTAACACATCAGCAAGCATCCTGAGGAATAAAAGATAAGACATTTAGAGAATGGACAAAACTGCAATCTTCATGCCCCTTACAAGAGCACAATACCAGTAGTACCACTCTGAAGTAATGCTGCAGAAAACTGAGGCCTTTTTTCACCACAGTAGTCTGAGATGTAGTTCAGTTCTAGAAAAGACCTAAAGACCGACTACTGCACTTTCCAGCAAATAAAGGGTAGAATTTCCGAAAGCAGGCTTCCCATTTTCATCCACCTGCATCAGAATTCTTAAACTAAGCTTTCATTAATAAGGTCAAAAATATATATGTAGAGTTCAAACTATTCTCACAGACAATCAAACTACCCCAAGGATATGCCAAGTACAGAAATGTTTAGAGATCTGGTAAGAATAAACAAAAAGTCTACCTTTCCTCTTCTTTTTGTCTTTCCTCGGCTTCTTTTTCTTTGCGTTTTTGTTCTTCTCTCTGTTTTTCCAGCTCTTGAAGCTTCTGCCTTTCAAGCTGACGTTTCTTAATTGAAGCATCGCTCAAGTGTTTTGTTGAATCAAATGAAACCTTTACAAGAACAGGGGAAAGTATTCATACCAATGTTTAGAAGTCTGCTAAGCTTAAGTACAGATGTTTTTTTTTTAATTTAACATACATTTTAGGATACAAAATAGTCTAGTGGACTCTTAACTTATATCCTTTACCAATAATTCTCTGTATTCTTAACTTTTGGAAATACTGTACTCCAGTTGTTCTTTAACTACAGTGTCTGTCATTAAGCCAGCAAAATAAACTTTTAAAGGTCTTTCATGTGAGACCGAGAAAACAAAACTTGACAAACTTCACAGCTCTCTCTCTTGTCTTTAATTCAGTGACAAGAACAACAAAGGGACACAAGGGACAAAAGGGCCTATAACACAGCCAATGTTTCAGGGTGTGTGTGACAGGGCAGCCTAGAAAAGTGAAACTCTAAGAAACTGCAGCATTGGTTAGCTACACAAGAGACAAATCTTCTTGTATTTTTGAAAACAATTCTTCTGGCTCTGAGCAGTTCCAAATATGTACAGAGACATGTGGGAGTGCAAGAAATTTTATGTTAGATGAAAACATTCCAGGCGCATCAAAGAGAACTCCAATGTTAACCTGAAAAAAAAAGCAATGGGAATCATGCTCTCCACACCTCTACAGACCACATTACTTGTGAACGGGGATTAACAGGAATGCAAAGGAGATGATCCATGGGGTCGCGAAGAGTCGGACTCGACTGTGCGACTGAACAACAAAAAGGATTCCTGAACAAGTTATGTACCTGTAGACATTTTTTTTTAGAGAGGGCCACTCTATATGTACCATCACTAGCTGTATTTATGGAAAGGTGAGCCACAAATTCCAGGAAAAAAAGCAAACATACCCAGATTTCCATTATAAGGTGACAAAGAAAACTACTTCTAACACTGAACTATTTATTTATAAAATATTTACATTGCGTCTACAGGAGCCAGTCAGCAGTGGTTTACAAAACCAAAATATACAAAGATATTAAAATCTACATAAACAATCCAGCCCAGCATTAAAAAAACCCCATATACCATAAAAACAAGCCACTGACAGATTGAAACAACAATTTCCAGAGTAAAACAGTGTTAAAAGATCAACCCTCGGTGAACAGAAACAAACTGGCAGCCGCTGCAGCTCTCTCAGCACTGATATAATATGAGCCCTCCATCCTGTCCCTGACAATCACTCAATGACATAAAATCAACTTTCAAAAAGGAGAAATCAACAGAATGTGTACCTAAAACAGTGTTTCAGAATGCATACCAGGCAACAAAATATACAGAAGAGCATGCAATAGATCTACCAAAGAAATCAACTATAAACGACTCAACAGGATCTCACCTTTATGTTACAAGCCACTGCTTTGCCATCTTCCCCTTTGTACATCAGTTTCATTCCACGTAAAGCATTCATGGCCTTAATGAAACCTGCATATTCCTGGTATTGAACATAAGCCTCAAAATTCAAATGGCCTCCAAAGCTGAAAGTATGAAAGTTTCTGCCAGTCATTTCTTCTCTGTAAGGGTCCAACATGGGTATATCCACATTGCGTATATCCCCAAACTTACTAAACACCTTGATAAGAACTTCTTCACTTGGTTTTTCTGAGCCAGAATCTTTCTGTGCAAACCATTTACAAGGTAAACCTTCCAAATGTATAGTGTCAGGCCTTTCTCCGGGCAGAGTCTCATTCATATCTTTTGCATCACGGAAGAAGGAGTCCCAGTCATGTCGAGTAGGAAAATCAATTTTGTATTCTGCAGCACGAACTTTTAGAATGTCTGAGAAGCCACTGAGTTTGATAGTCTTCCCATCTAGGCAAGCCAAGAAGGATTTAACCAAACTCTTATTTTCTACTTCTCCTTCAAAGCGGATAAAATCCATGGTGCTTTTCGAAATCCGTAAAGTTGAGAACTGGTGAGTTTGCACCATTCCTTTCAGCCGTTCCATCACCTCCCAGTTAGAAATGGACTTCCCTGGCTGCTTTAACTGAGGAAGTGCCACACTGATGGTCATTTTGGTAATGGGTTTAAGGTAAAGCCCATAAGGAGCACAGAGCTCCATTGCTTCTGAAGGGTCATGAACTATTGTAGCAGCTGCCATACCTGCGACTAATAAAAAAGCTATCAAAAGAAAATGTAGGCTTATCTATTTTGAAGACACTGGGGGAAAGTGGTCCCTTTCTTTGAATAAATGATCATTTTAACAGTTAAGACTTTGAAGTGTACATGCAGTGAGAGGGCTGAAAACAAGGCCTGTCTTGGTTTCAGTTCCATTAAAATCTGTCAAAACATATTACACAAAGACCATGAATGAATTGATTCTCTCTCCTAGCCACATTGTATTTGCGTGCAACAAAGAATGCAGCACAAACCCGGTCTGTGCAGGAACAGCAAAAGAAATACAAAAGTTAATTGTGTTCGAGAAGACACTGAAAATGCAGAAACAGCAATAGCCCTCTGAGAATCTCTGCCTTCAGACAGCTTGCAAGGTTCCGTAATGAATCACAGCCATATGAACAGAATTCCAGTCTTTGCAGTAACTAGAATGCTTTTGCTCTGTAAGAAATTGAAAAAGAATTAGTCTTGACTGTCTTCATCAAATTAGATGAAGTCATTATTTAAAGATAATTTTCTTATTTCACACCCTGCCTTTCTCCCCACGGGGTCACAAAGTGGCTTACATAATTTTCCATCTGTCCTCACAACAGCCTTATGAGGTACATTAGGCTGACTGTGCATGGACTGGCCTAAGATCACCCAACAAGCTTCTTGGGCAAAGTGAGGATGCAAAACTGGAGTCCTAGACACGAACTAGGGCAAAGTGAGGATGCAAAACTGGAGTCTCCCAGATCCTAGACACGAACCACTACATCACAATGGCTATCAAGTTACTAAAGTATTCAAAGCACTAAACATCATACCAAAATATCTACAAAATGAAATATGAATTAGATATATTTCAAGCATGAACCTCTGCATATTTATTCAGCAACTAGCCACAAAATGAATGGAATTTAACAAAATTTACATGTTTAACATCAGTATTGGTGAGGCTTCTGACTGGCACCTTGATTGGCTGTTCAAGTTTTAAAAACAGCTTTGGCAGAAGGTGTCACCACAGCACCACAGGCTAAAGGTAACCTGTGGCAGCTAATTTGTGATTGGCTCCACCTCCAGCAACAGCCATTTTGTGGCTATACCATCCCCACTATGTCAGAATTCCAAAGGTGCCCATAGACTCAAACAGGACAAGGACCTTACCTATATAAACACATTGCAGATTGAGTATACCTCCCATTGACTACCTTCAGTAAGACTTTTGTGAGGACAGCTGCATGAAACATTGCATCCTCTACAAAATTAAACTTACTTTAATTACACCAATATAGTAAAAACAATCATTCAAATGTGCTAAGGTATACTATTTTGCTATGTATGACCAATACTTTACATGGCTATACTGAGAGCAAAATACATTGTAAAGTCAGAGGTGGATTTTTTTAAATGCTAAAATGATGTCACATTCCACAGTGAGACACAATCCATTTTCCCTGACATCTCTAATCATAGCATCCTCATGACATTTGACATATTACAGAATTAACTAGGATGTACAAGCTAGAGATGTATTTTTTCCACTTTTATATAGCTTTTGTATATGCACCTGCCTCATACTAGCACATACATACAAACATACTGAATTCAGGGTTAACAATCTTTCCAGAGGATTATAGCTTTTATTTTAAACATTCATATTCATTAGGAATCCTATTATTAAAAGTGGTCCCATCCCCTCTTTGCAACAGCAACATTTTGTCTTAAAACTTACTGCAGAGGGAAGTGTGGTGGGTGCAATATAGAGTGTCAAACTAGAATCCTCGAGACCCAGGTCTAAAATCCCACTCTGCTGTGGAAAATTGCTGGGTGACCCACAGAAGATGCCTAGTCACATACTCTCAGGCTAACCTACCTTGCAGCAGTGTTCTGAGGATAAAATGGTGAAGAGAACAACGCAGGCTGGTTTGAGCCACCCTTGGGGAGAAAGCCTGGGTAGAAATAAGGTAGAGAACAAAGTGTTTCCTGAAGCAGCTAAGAGAAACAGGGAGCAACACACAGAAGTACAATACAGTGTCACTATTTTACCATTTCAAATCTGAAAAGTGGCATACAAGTTCATAATGGTCTGACAACAGCCTTGTTTTACAATTCCAAAGCGAAATAATGTAGAGAAATATATGTGATGGCTCAATGATCACAATTTGGTTTGGCACAAATTTGGTTTGGCACAAAGCTGTGGTGAATAGCCAGGCTCTCAAACCTTAACAGTAAAAAGGTAGCACCTCTATCTAAACATATTCACTAGACCACCAGTGTTCCACTAGTAGGTCAACACCCACAGGATGGTCATGCCCTGATTTAAGCTGTGTTGCACTAGCATCTCCAGCACCATTTCCATTTTTCTAGAAAGACTAGAACTCAAGAGCTCTGCAGTTGGGCCAGACCAAGCACTGTACTTCCAAAATGGTCACTCACCAGCAATCAAACAAACATAAAGGCAATGGCCACTCACTGCTCATTGCCCGAGCAACTGGTATTTTCTGCCACACTGCCTCCGAGCATACTACAAATGAGAGACAGAAACAGACAAAGAGAGGAGGAAGAGAACAAAAATACAGACGTGGCATAATTTAAAAGGGGTCACATCACAGCCTGAGTTTAAAGACGGTCTGAGAAATCAGAAGATTACTATACTAGCGGTTATAACATGCAGAGCTATTCTTGAAAAATGGACATAAGGACATTTAACAAAAAAGGGAAGCAACGTGTTGGGGGTTGGAACCATCGCGTTGCATCTGGAGCAACAGCCCCAACAAGACTGCCCGTATGTAGGGGCTTTTTGAAACTTCAGAGGCACCATGTAAGGCATTACTATGCCCAGACGGAGTGACCGGGGGAGGGGGGGCTTAAGCCATTCCCTGAAGCCTCCTAAGGCAGCCGCGAGGGTGAAGCTGCCATCCCCCTCCCTCACCGGAACAGGGCCGCGGGTAGTAGTGGGAGGGGGGGGTGCCCTCCATTTTGCAAGCACAGACAGCGGTAGCCTACCTAGCGGGGAGAGTGTGGGCTGCGAGGGACGCGCCATGGGCTGCTCTGCCGATTAGCCACCTCGCCTCTTGGCACCAGCCACGCTAGCCTCAGAAAGCCCGGGCCGGAGTCGCCATCGCCGCCGTCCTTTCTCTCCCTCCCCACCCCGTCTCAAGGCTGACGCGCGCGGCACCGGCCTTCCCACACTGCCTAGCAGCAGCACCACCACAACAAAAACACTTCCGCTTCCTTTGGCACTCCAGCAAAGTCAGCGAGAGGAAGAAAGTGATCAGGCAACCGGAAGCGCGCGGGGTGGGGGGGTACAAAGTCAGCCGGCGGCAGAAAGTGACGCTACTTCCCGGAATGAGGAGGAGCCTCATTGCCGGTCGGTGCTGGACCGGTAGCGCAGTCCTGTACGGATTGGTTTCATCGTATTTAGCTTGGAATTACACTCGGTGTAGGATGGTATTGTGAGTGTTGTGCAAAAAGGTGCAGTAGAGGTTCCCAGGTGTGTGAATAATAATCATTGGCTGCGGTCACACGGAGCATTAGCCACTGAGAGGATGATAGGCGGATTCTCCGGGTGCAATCACACTGCAACATCTGGGAAGCGTAGATTCCGGGAACCTTGGGGCAAAGGCTGGCGTCTGATCGCGTTTCCGGTGGTAGTCCGTGGAATCTGGCGCCCACCCATGGTCCGTTGCAAACAGGTTCCCCCCCCCCCAAGTCTCCACAGGATGCGCACAAGCACCCAACGGCGCATGCGCACGAAGTGGAAAGCGAAAGTTCCATTGCTCCGCAGAATCGTGCATGCTGTTGGTGAGATAGCGTGCACCGCTTCTTTGCCGCGCTGCAAGATTGTCGTGTGATTGCCACCTAGCCCCTACCCACGGGACCTCAACAGGACGTGTGATCGGGCGGCCGCGCATTATTTTGCTCCAGGCCAAACTGCCACGCTTCCCCCCCCGCATTTTACGGCCCATGTGACCAGGACCCTGGACTACTTTGTAGGGGTGTTATAAACGATGCTCTCTTGGCAAGTTCCTTTCTCTCCTTCACCCTCAGCGATGCACGGCTTGGCAGGGTAATGCTTTAAAATGCTCCACCCCAAAATATTTTTGACCTGCTTGTAGAGAAGCGAGGGGCAACTGGAGAAAAGTAAAAGCCGCATCTTCATGAGTTTTTCAGCGGACTCACCCAAATCAAATCACATGTCAAAGCCAGGAACACAGCCGGAACCATTAAAAAAAAAAAAAAAACCCTCAGATCCAATACTTTGTGGCTGAGCAATGCCACAAAAACATGGATCCGAGACATGTGTCCTCATGAATTCATATTTTTTTTGCATTGAAACAAAATAAAACCGTATTGTAGATCATATCTTAGTCTATAGCCAGCACCACAAATATAAAGCATCCACTGTTTTGTGGTGCCACTGTAGCACAAAAATATAGTTCCAAATCATGTAGCCTCACAATTTTTGTTTTGAGTCACCCCAAAGTCACTATCAAATCACATATCATGTCCATAGCCAAATACTATACCAGAATAATCACAGATCCACTGCTTCATGGTGTTGCTATGGTGCAAAACTGATTCCGAAGCACAGAAACCCGTGGATTCTCAGGATTTTTATACTGGGTTGCTCTAACCATTCACACAACATGTTCATGGTCGCAGACTGCATGACAAAAATCATGCATCCACTGCTTCATGGCACTACCATGGTTCCAAAGCATAGATCCTCATGGATCCTCAGAATTTTTATGTTTGCTCATGCCAAATTCATTATCCAGTCACATATGACCATGGCGAAAGATTGTGCCACAAAAAGCACAAATCCATTGCTTTATGGCACCACCACAGTGCAAAAACATGAATCCAAAGCATGGATCCGTGATGTTTGTGGTACAATCTGTGACCATGGATACGATGAGTGATTTAGTGGTCAGGTTGGGGAGACCTAATGTAAAAATCCTGACAATCCATGAGGATCTGGGTTCATAGCAATGGATGTGTGGATTTCTGGTCTAATCTGTGGGCAAGGACAAGATATGTGATTGGATAGTGAGCCTGGGGTCACCCAACACAAAAATCCTGAGGATTCATGCTCCACTTTTTACATTCTGGCTTCTCTATGAATCAGTGGGTATGTGATGATGATGATGATGATTATTATTATTATTATTATTATTATTATTATTATTATTATTATTATTATTATTATTTTTTTTGTGGATATGTGTGTAGTGAGAAAATCTGGATTCATAGTTGGTTTGCGTTTAAAATGAAAGCCACAGCATTTGTATGTTTAATGTAGCCTTTTGTGTTTGTATTAGTAAGCAGCTTGCATTTTGTTAGCCACACTGAACCAGATATTCATGAACCTTTACTAAGCCTTTGTTTCAAACAGACCTGCACGAACTCAGGAAAAGGGCACACAGTCCATTCCCAGGACCAAAGCAACAACCTGCATTTGGCAGGAAAAAAAGACCCTTTTTGGACCAAGGGACCATTAATAAGTAAATCAATGATTCCCAGAGACACCAAGGTTCATACCCCCACTGACACATCAGAAGTAACGCCAAGCTTTGTGATATCTCTCATGCAAAAGAACATCCGGACAAGAGCAGAGAAAGAGTTGCCATATCTAGCATGTTCTGTAAACAAAATGTTTCTCTCTGGAATAGCTGAGCCATCAAAATCTCGACTGATGTCAAACTGATGTAATTAACAAGTGTAATACGTTTTGGGCTACTCTTTCATTTTTCTGTATAAATCTCTGGTCCTTGCCTGGCATTTTTGTTCACTCTTAGAAACTTGAGGGAGATTTGTTTGTATCTCTGGAGTTTCTTTGAGTGGCCTGGAGGCCTTCTGTACAGCTTGCTTGTGGGGAGGGAGGGAAAATTCTTTCACTGTCTTATCTTAGTAGGCTTGCTTGTTGAAGGAAACAGTATTTATATTGTTTTGTGCACTCAGCTACTGCACCTGACTGACAGAGGTGCTCTGCTCTCTAATTTTTACTAACACTAAAAAAGAAGCATTTCCTTTGTTTGAAAAGAGATCTCGACTCTTGAGTTTCTGTCAGCTCCGTCAGCAGAGCCTGCTCGCATATCACAATGCCTTTCAGTGTCATGCCTGCCCCCGATGTGGCCTCAGAAGCAGGGCTTGACAGCCAGGGACAGCAGGACTTGACTCCTTTAACAGAAGAAACTGTAAGTCCTGAGGAGGATACCACGCAGCAAAAGCCACCTGAGGTCGATCAGGTGCTGCCGAGCACAAGTGCATCCTCACCAGAATCTCCTCCACCTGTTAACAGGCTCCGAGACCAAAGGCGTCAGGAGCTGAATGAGAGGCGAAAGGCTGCACGCCTGCATGTTCGACGTTCGCTCAGCCCTGAGTTTTGACAGCAGCCTGGACATTGTTTCAGGGAGCTAATGAGATAATGAGCCAGCACACTATTTCAGCAGACCTGTTGCCTTAAGCAAGCCGTGCTGGCAACGTTTGATGTCAGGACCAGACACTCTGTGTGACCTTGCTTCAGATCTTGCGGATTCTTCGGTTTTGACTCTGTTGGTGTTTGGACTTTCGGCATCTGTTTACCTGCTCCTGATTTATGGCTAACTGACCCTTGGCGTTTCCCTAACTACGACTTCGGCTCTGCCCTTATCAGACTCAGTGTGATTTATGGACTATGACTCTTGGTATGTTTTGACTGCGGCTGTGTTAAACTGTTTGGGACTTGTTTGTAAGGCTTTTCTGACTGAATTATTGGCTGATCCTGGACTGGCTCTCCAACCTGCTTTGTTATCTGTTGCTCACTGGACCTAATCGTGACATTCAGTAAGGGGCCAACACCTTAAGACACAGAACTAGGGCAGGGTGGGTGGACACATTTACACTTACTAGACACGTGTCAGAAAAGTCCCACATCAGTGTGATTTTTGATATGCAAGCTGTGGCAATAGACATGATATGAGCTGTGATGGTTAGTATGGGGTGACGCAATGCCAAAATTCTGAGGATCTATGCCTAGAAACCAAGTTTTTGCACTGTGGTGGTGCCATGAAGTAGTGAAACTGATTTTTCTGATATAATCAGTGGCCTTAGCATTTGTATGTAGGCAGGCTGAGGTACAACCGACCTCTGCCTAAAAAAAAATACAAATTGGAGGCTTTGCTCCTTGCCAACCTCCCAGGAGAAAATGCATTTCTTCACAGACATATGAACAAAGAAGAGTTTTGCTTTGTCCCACCCTTGCTCGGCCTTCCGTGGCCTTTCTATACTTTATGTTCAGTTTTGCAATTGAGTGGCCTAGTTTAGTCACTCTTGGGGAATAGGACTGGGCATGTTGGGGAGGGGGGGAGTTAGGGTGTCCAAGTCTATTTACCTTGGCGGCGGGGGAGCCTCGCCGAACTCCAGGAGCCGTAGGTGGACATGCGCGCGCCACCAGCACGTCACCGGAAGTGACGCGCGACGTCGATCACGTTGAGGGCGTGGCCCCAATCGTTGGAGGGAAAACCATAGAGTTTTCCCTCCAACGATCGGGACCACGCCCCCAACGTGATCGACGTGGTTGCATGACCTCTGGTGACGCAGCCATGCTGCGCTTCGGGGGGCGGAGTTCCCCCTGGGGTCCAATTCCGCAGCGGCAAAAATCGGACCTCCAAAGCAGGGGATTACCCGCCCCCCGCCCCCACTTGGCAGCCCTAGGGAGAGTTGTTTCTGTTTCTAGGCTGCTCCAAGATGGAGGCCTAGGTGAGGGTTTATGATTTATACCAGCAATAAATACACAGTTATATCAGCTCTGCTTGGCTGATTTGAACCTCGCATATTACTCTGGAGACAAAGGTGACTCACAGAGAGTCTTTCTGTGCAGTGGACCCAGTCATCCACATTAGGCTCGCCAAGTCCCTCCGAGGCCCGTTCCCCGCCACCGGCGAATTGGGCCCCAGGGGGAACCCCACCCCCATTGCACGCGACGTGCGCATCACCCGGAAGTGACGCGACCACGCTGGGCATGCTGACGGCGGGGCCACGGTCATCCGAGGGAAAGCTCTATGGTTTTCCCTCGGATGGTCGTGGTCCCGCTCTCAGCGTGCCCGGCGTGGTCACGTCACTTCCGGGTGACAGGGTTGCGGCGCGCGCGCACTTCGCACACACACACACACTCCCGGAGCAGCACTGGAGTCCCCCGCTCCGGCGCCGATCCGACTTGGGAACCCTACTCCACATCCA